ATGCCGCATTATTATAAAAAGAAAAGTTCGGTCTTGACATATATACTTTTTTTTGTAAAGTTCGCTGTCGTCGGTTTGGGCTTAACGCCGTCAAATTGCAGGTGTGAAAAGTCGAAAATACCCTTAAGTCTAAACATGTCATTAATTTTTTGAGCATCTTAACGACTTCAAATGAAAAAAACTTAAAACTAGAAAGTTGTATATCTCATCGAGATTTATAATTTTCATATAAAATTATTTTTATTTAATTCCGCAAAAAAATATATGATTTGATATGCTTAATATATCTTAGAAAAATCATATCTTTTTTTTATGGAATTAAATGAAAAAATAATTTTATATAAAATTATAGATCTCATCGAGATCGCAACTTTCTAGTTTTGATTTTTTCATTTGAAGTTTAAGATGCTAAAAAAATATAATGACATATTTGACTTTAATATATTTCACACCGCAAAAATCATAGAGTCCAAACCGACACAGCAAGGGTACTGATGACACAAAAAGTGGAGAGGCCAAGCACCATGAATTTTTTCACGACACACAAAGACATTACGATCTTTTTTAATGGCACACGTGAAATTCACCCAAAGAAAAGGATGTCCGCCGCGCGAAAACACGCACGAAAATCACGGCCCGTGGCTCGTTGGGATCGGCGCGGTCGATCACGCCCGCGCACGCACCGCGCGCGCGTCTAGAAAGTTTACCGCGCGAGTACGTGACGTCGACACGTTGGCATCACCCACACCAAAGCCAGTCGGAAACCCACCACTAGCCCGAGTGTTCACTAACAGATGATGATCCAGACAGGAGCATTTGCAAAAGCAAGCGGGACTTGAAAAGAAAAGGGCACCAATCTCCGTCAAAGTTGCACAAACGGGTTGGTTTTGGTTTGTAGCCCATGTTTGTTTTGTTAGAGCCAATTTGGTGATGGGATCCATCCAGCGATCAACGTTGTCTGGTAGCCTGGCAGCTTGGTAGACAGACCCAGGGGATACCTTTAGGTGTACCGGGACCGCGGGAGGCTGCCGCCACCCGCGACGCACACGAATAGAGAAAACTCACGGCGCGGGGCGGCGGGACCGCGGAGGTGCGTCTTCGAATGCCACGTTCCAAGCCACCGAATCGGTCACGTCCGTATCGTCCCCAATTCTCCAACCAAATGCGGCGATCGACGTCGACCTGCAGGTCCGGCACCTACGCGCCAGGCGAACGCGTGAACTCGCGGCGTCTGTTGGGCCGAGCGTCGGTACTCTGAACGCCGCCATCCCTGCCTGCACGGCAGACGCACGTGTGAGGCTGGCGTGCCGCTACGCACTCGAAACTTTCTACTTGTCGGTATGGGCTCCAATGAAAAGCACCCCCCTAGTAGTAGGAGACTCTGTGGCGCCAGAGCCGTCAGTTTCCTGTCAATTTTCGATTCATTGGTCGAAGAACTCGCTCTGACGAGACTCTGCCGCCTCTGTCCCTCGCTCCTCGCCGCGTCCCTGTCCCCGTTCTCCCAACGCACCCTGCCCCAAGAGGAGCATGAAATACTTCACCTGTATAGAGAATTCTTTATTTGACACTGAAAAAATAAGTCGTTTCTTTGTTGGCTTTGAAATTTTCTTTGTTCTCTATTTGACACTCACTTCAACTTTCATCCCTAATTTGACACTATCGTCAAATCCATTAGCTAACGGTGTTAACTGACTGTTAAAAAGATGTTTTTGCCCCTAGAAAAAAAAACGACGAAGCAAATTTGAGAGGAAAAATAAACCTGAGCCCGCCTTTGATGCATGCGCCCAGCTGCAAAAAAAGACCAGCCAGCCAGCGATGCATGCGTGCAACAACGCCTCTGCATGCGTCTAGGGGCAAAAACGTCTTTTTAACGGTCAGTTAACAACGTTAGCTAATGGATTTGACGGTAGTGTGAAATTAGGGATGAAAGTTGAAGTGAGTGTCAAATAGAGAACGAAGAAAATTTCAGGGCCAACAAAGGAACGACTCATTTTCCCGGTGTCAAATATGGAATTCTCTCTTAACTGTCAGTCTGTTCGGGAGGCCGTATCGTATCGTGGATTATTTACTGCTGGCTAGTTTGGTGTGAGAGAAAAATATTGTTTCCGGCTGAAAATTTACGATCGTTTACGAGCAAGCGAACAGGCTGTGTAACATTACAAAAAACATATAGAAAAACTATTAGTACAACATCGGGTTATAAATACTGCAACATCGAAAAAATATATAGTGCAACATTGAAAAACATGCACTGCAATATAAAAAAATATGTACTGCAATATCGAAAAAATGTATTGCAATTAGGGATGAAAACGGACGGAAACGGGCGGAAAAACTCCTCTCTCATTTCCGTTTCTATATTTTTAGCGAAAACGGGATTGGGTTCGGGAAAAAACGGAATTAAAAACGGATGGGGATATACGGAAATACGGAAACAGACAAATACGGACGGAGAGCCGAAAAAATAAGTTAGACTAACATGATCAAATATTCTTGAGTATACATGAATAAAGTCACAAAATAATATACACGTACGAAATTATCAGTCCAATGTTCACTAGTATACCATGTGTTAACATGTTAACATGCATAATTTGTCATTAGTAGGTTTATGAACATATCAATTTCTAGACATATCTCACATAGATTGAAAACGAGATGAAAAATAGAATAAATACGGGTCAATTCTGGATAAAAACGGGATCTCGCGGAAACGGACGGAAAAACCCCTTTCCCGTTTCCGTAACGGGATCCCACAAATACGAAAACAGGCGGAAGAAAGTTGAAAACGGAACGGGTCCGAACGAGATTTTTTCTGTCCGTTTTCAACCTTAATTGCAACATCGAAAAAATATATACTGCAACATCGAAAAACATATAGTACAACATCGAAAATCAAGTACCACAACATCAAATTGCAACATCGAAAATAATGCGCTGCAACATCAAAAATTATATACCGCAACATCTCAAGCAGTAGTACTACAATTTGGCAAAAACATATGTTGCAACGACCTAAAAAATCACATTGCAACATTTGAAAATCATCTGTTGCAACATCACAAAACACCCATTGCAACACGAGAGAAACAACAACAAAAAAGCGTACAAAACAGCCCCTGGTCCATCACTTTCAAGCTCACCGGAGGGATGAGGGAATAGGACCTCAGAGCTCGCTGGAACCCTAGCCACTGCCGCGTCCCTTAGATCCAGAGGAGGAGGAGCGTTCAGATCCAGAGGAGGAGAAGGAGGAGGGCTTATATCTAGAGAAGAACCGACCTACCTCGTCGGAGCCGCAGCCGTTGTCCTCGTCTCTAGTGGGGGTTGCATGGAGGTCGCGGAGAGGGAAGGACGATGGGAGGGGCGGCGGCGACCTGGCTCGGAGAACGGTGTGCGGCGCGGCAGAGAGTGGAAGCGGAGGAGCGAGGGAGAGCGGGCAAGCGGAGCGAGCGAGTGGGTGCGATGGGATAAGGCGCGGGGGGCGCAGGCGGGATGAGATAAGGCGCGGGGGCGCGGACGCTCGGTTGAGTTGTTCTCGTGTGTGGGTCCGTCCGGACGGGACGGACGTCCGTACAGTATCATTATCGTTGTTAGATGGATTGGTCGGTAATTAGAAAGCACGGTGAAACGGTTGTAGAGAGGAACGATGTACGAGCTCTGATGATTTGAGTTACCTGACAACATAGGAGTATATTGCTATTTCTTAATCATGCCTCCATTTTTCAGTTTAGCTCTAATTTTTCAGCTTTCGTGCACACGTGTTGCGGCATATATTTTTGGGTCCCACTACTGGACGCACCAAGTACCAACTGCTTGTAGTTTTGGGATTTTAATATACTAACTGTACTGTCGTAGTTTCCTTTTGTCAGCAAAATATAGTAACAAAAAACAAAAAGGCTGTACTAGGCACTCCAGGGTTCAGGGTTGGGTTTGGTTCATGGATATGGAAAGGAACAGATCGGGACAAACGCGGACAAACATCTACGCTTATTACACCTTTTATTAATGGGCCTGTTATTTGGTTGGTTTTGGTTTATTGTTGAGAGAGGAAGTTCAAAAGCAGTCAAAAGCATCAAATCAACGCAGCCATCAACCTGTTCGTTTCGTCGTATACGATCGTGGATTATAAGCTATAACAGTATTTTTCTCTCACACCAAATCAGCCAACAGTAAATAATTCATGATCGTTTACGACGAAACGAACAAGCTGATTTTCATCAATTCTAGCATTTGTTGTACTATACTAGTATACTTGTTTTCTGAAACGAATGCAGTTCGTGAGAGCGCTTTATGTGTTGGGTTTGAGCTGCACGCAGCACGCCACAGAGTAACAAGTGATTGGCAAACACAACATCAGTTACTCTAACCTAGTATATGCGGTTAGGAAACATGACGAAACTGCTACGGAGCATTTGCGGTTGCCAGAAGTACAAATCCATTGGCCCTGAACAGGATTTGAACCTCGCCACTACTCTCTCCAGCTACCAACTCATGGCCAAAATATACTGAGCAACACAAAGTGCTCATCTGATAATATCTCGTGATGGATGCTTAGTTGAGTACTATTTCATTGAACAAATCTAGGACATATGCAAACACATACTCAAAACATGATGTTCAAAGTTACAGTCTTACAGTTACAGACATGATTGTATTACATGTGACCAAAATTAAATGTTCGTAGACAGAAAATTATGCATGGCAAGTAGGAAAGAGAAACACTTGTACACTAGAGTAGCACAACTTTTTTATTCCAAGAAAAGCACACAACACGACACGACAAAGATTCTCCAGCAAGCACACGGACACGTAGATGATAGGGAGACACAGGAAGCAGTAGTACTAAGTTTAAGACAGACGCGGCGTGGTGGTGGCACTTCACTCGGTCGATGATACGGGCAGTTGCAGCGGCGGCGGCGGCAATTCAGACTGGCAATTCAGGGCTCCGGGGAAAGGAGTGGTTTCAGGAATCAATCAAGCATCAGTGCATCGAGGACCGGTTATTCACCACGAGCTCCGATGTTGATCAGGGAGACCCCGAGCAGGAGCACAGCCAACATGCCCAAACAGAGCATGGGATCTGACTCGCCGGAGACCACTGTGACCGCACAGGAAGTCATGATGAGCCCCATGGCGGCGGTGTTGCGGCTCACGAACGCTGTGGGAGCACGTGCACCGCCGAACACCGCAGGGAAGGTGGGCGCCGGGTGGTCGGCCATGCGGATGCCGACGGTGACCGGCAAGAACCCCCATGAAGCTGAGTAAGCCGAAGCCGTCGGCGCCGAAGTGGATGCTCGCGCTGACAGAAAGCATGACGGTGAAGCCTATGGACATCGCCCTGCTTCCCGGAGTGCTCATCGGCGGCGGCGTGGCACCATAGTCCTCTGTTAATTGGAAGAGCAACAAGACAACAAGAAACATTTTTTCAAGGTCGGAAGAATCACGGAACAAGGATGTCACGCGATCATCATGTGACCAAAAAGGGAAGTGCAGAATTGGGTACAGAATTTGCAAGAACTGAAGGACCGGGATTCTTCCGGTCCGAACGGCCGGACCGGATCCTTCCACCGAACGGCGCGCGGGAATCCGCGGCGCGTGGAACGACGGGAATCATTGTACGCAGCGCGGGACGGAAGTACCAGGTACGATATTTTTCCTTTTTTTATTCTTCTCATTTCTTTTCTTTTTCTTTTCTATTTCTTTTCTCTTTTTATTTTTCTTTTCGTGCTTCATTTTTTATTTATATTTCTTTTTTTGTTCTATGTGATTTTTATTATTTTATTATTTTTAATTTTTTTATGTTTCTTTTATTTCTTTTTTCTTTTTCTTTTCTTTTCCTTCCTTTTATTATTATTTTTTATTTCCTTTCATCATTTTTGTTTCATGTGAATTTTTATTATTCTTTTCATTTTATATATTATTTTATGTTATTTTTTAGCTTTTACTATAATTAATTATTATGTTCATTTTATTTTATTTTATATTTTATTCTTTTCTATTTCTTCCTTTTTTCCTTTTCTGTTTTCTATAGATTTATTTATCTTCTATTTTTCTATTTTACTTTAATTATTTTTTTCATGTTTAATTTTTTATTTTCTATATTCCATAAGATGTTATATTCATATAGTATAGATGTGATGTTTTATAATATATTTTGTGATGTTCACGTGATATATAATGACATGTTCTATGATGTTTTTTGTGATGTTCATTTAGTATATATGTGATGTTCTGTGATGTTTTTTATGTTCACGTGGTATACATGTGATGTTCTATGATGTATTTTGTGATGTTCGCGTAGTATAAATGTAATCTTCTCGTAGTATAGATGTGATGTTCTATGATGTTTTTTATGATGTCCGCGTAGTATACATGTGATGTTCTCGTAGTATACAGGTGATGCTCTATGATATTTTATGTTATGTTCTCGTAGTATATATGTGATGTTCTATTATGTTTTTTGTGATGTTCACGAAGTATACACGTGATGTTCTATGGTGTATTTATTGATGTTCACGTAATATATATACGATGTTCTATAATAAATTTGGTGATGTTCTATGGTGTATTTAGTTATGTTCACTTAGGCTTGTTTAGTTTCAAGGTATAAAGTTTTGGGGTGTCACATGGGGGTATCGTATGGGGTGTTTGAAAGCTCTAGTTTGGTTTTGGTGAATTGATAAAACCCTAAGTGCTAATCTAGTTTATCTAAGTGATCATGAGATAGGTAACACCATTCCAAGTGATGAAGCAATGGTGAAGATCATGATGATGGTGATGCCATGGTGATGATCAAGTGCTTGGACTTAGAAAAGAAGAAAGAGAAAAACAAAAAGCTCAAGACAAAGGTAAAATTGATAGGAGCTTTTCGGTTTATTGATAGAGACACTTAACGAGTGTGATCACGTTTAGGATTGATAGCCATACTATTAAGAGGAGTGAAACTCATATCGAAATACGGTTGTCAAAGTGCCACTAGATGCTCTAACTCATTACATATGCATTTAGAATCTAGTGGAGTGCTAACACCCTTGACAATGCTTGTGAAAATATGCTAATACACGTGCTCAAGGTGATACACTTGGTGGTTGGCATATTTGAGCAAGGGTGGAGAAGTTAGTGAGGTGAAGGAAGTGATTATCACTGTAAAATAGTGACCGGACGCTGGTCACGTGGTGATCGAACCCCGGGAGTAGCGTCCGCTCAGTAGTGAAGCAATGAGGCTGTCTCTGTCTAGATGACCGGACTCTAGAGATGCTGATCGACCGGACTCCGGTTGAACACTGTTCATCGTCCGGTCTCGCTGATGTGGCGGCGCGCTGAGAAGAGAAGGAGGAGCGAACGCACCGAAACATCCGGTCTTGATGGACCGGACGCGTCCGGTCAAGAAAAAACGCCTCTGGTACCTTACTAGAAATGATCGGACTCCAGTGGTGGAGTGTTCAGTCACTTTGAGCAGCGCGTCCGGTTTTAACTTAACACGTGGCAAGAAGCAGACTAGCTGTTATAATCAGGCGCTCAGCATTTGAAGCTGATGACATGTGGCGATCATCGGGAGACCAGACGCTGTGGTCCTGCGTCCGGTCAACCTGACCGGCGCGTCCGGTTAGCCCATGTTTCACTGGATAGAGGAGCCAACGGCTCTATTCGTGGGGGCTCTCTATTTAAGCCCCATGGCCGGCTCTAGCTCACTCTCTTGACCATTTGCATTGACATAGCAATCTTTTGAGCTTAGCCAAAGCCCTCCCACTCATCTCGATCATTGATTCGTTATCTTTGTGAGATTGTGAAAGAATCCTAGTGCATTGCTTGGGTCTTTGCATCTAAAGGCACTTGATATTCGTATTTCGCTGCGAGTTTGGCTTGTTATTCTTGGTGGTTGCCACCACCTAGATGGCTTGGAATAGCGAGGATCATCGAGCGGAGGTTAGTGATTATCTTCAGCTCCGATCGTGGTGATTGTGAGGGGTTCTTTATCTTTCCCCGGCGGAGAGCCAAAAGGTACTCTAGTAAATTGCTCGTGATATGTGTGATCCCCATCTTGTGTTGGTTGTGCAGCACCCTATTGAGGGTTTAGCGTATGATGCCAATTAGCGCATGAACCTTCAAGTGAGTGAATCACCACAACAAGGACTAACTTGCCGGCAAGCAAGTGAACCTCGGTAAAAAAATCTTTTGTCACCTTGTCCGAGGATGTCATTGGCTATCTTGTGGTTGATAGAATGGCTCAATCTTGTGATTGGCTCATACCTTGACACATCAGTATAATCATCGCCATTCTCTCTTGTATTACATTCATAGTATGTAAGCTAAGCTCTTTAGTGTAATTAGTTTTGAAAGCTAGCTTGCGTCGGGACTCGTGGTTAGTGAGGCTCTTTAGTTAGTTTTTGAGAGCTTACTAATTTAGTGTAGTGACATAGCCATTGTGTGGATAGAGACTATAGAAACTAGAATTGTGGTAGGTGGCTTTGCATTTTTAGTAGGCTAGCGCAACACTCGCTTCGCCTTATATTTGTCTAACCGGTTTGCTAAGTGTTGTTATAGAAAATTTTAATAGGCTTCTCGGGGACCTAATACTGGGGTACCTAACGAGGTGGAACTAATAATCATCAAACGTTGACACTTCTGGTCAGACAAGAATGCTACTGCGCTTCTTGCCCGAACGACGGAAGATTAGTTTCGCCACGCCCGACCACCGAGGGCTAGACTCCGCCTTGCCTGATGGCTAAGGGCTAGACTCCGCCTCACCTGACCCCCGAGGGCTAGGCTCCACCTCGCCCTATGGCTAAGGGCTAGACTCCACCTCGCCCGACCCTTGAGGGCTAGGCTCTGCCTCACCCGATGGCTAAGGATGGGCTCTGCCTCGCCCAATGTTCCGAGGGCGGGCTCCGCCTCGCCCGACGACCGAGGGCTGCCTCGCCCGACGTCCGAGGGTGGACTCCGCCTCGCTCGACGGCTAAGGGCTAGAATCTGCCTCGCCCGATGCCCGACGCCTGAGGGTGGGCTCCTCCTCGCACGACGACCGCACCCTGATCCTTCATAAAGATGAGCACAGGGTACGACAGGACATTCGAGTCAACCGCAGTACCGAGGGCCATGCCCTGCACGCCTGTAGGAAGGCACCGTCAGGATACGATGGGACGGGCGCTTTAAGCCCCTTCCGACATAACAGTACTCGAACAGTATTGTAGACGCCGACTTTTGTCCCATAGTGTTGTAGGCGCCGCCTTCAGCCCTCGGGCGCGGATACTAACATAAGCATACGACAACCGCTACAATCCATGGGAAAACTCACATCATCTACAGTAATAGGCGTATAGTCGTCTCCCCGTCCACTTCCCGTAGAGTCATGGTTCGGCGCCCTGACACCCCGTAGAGTCTACCGGGGAGGATGGGACGTAACCACTCACTGAAGCAAGACTAGGGTGTGGCCCTGTCAGGGTTAGCGGACGTGCCATCCCTGGCATGGTCTGCCATGACAGCGGTATAGGCTCAAGGGAAAAGGAAAGCTTGGCACCTTCGAAGGGCGACCTCCACCTTAGTTCTTTTTCCTCTTTCTCCCACATGTAAACCCCCTGCTCCCCCTTGGTCTATAAAAGGGAGGACTGGACACCCCACGAAGGGGATCAGTTCGACACACACAACACATCACGCACGTAGCCAAGCAGCAACCGAGCTCTTGGTGTCCTTTCGACCATTCCATCAGAGACTTGGGACCTGCCCCTCTCTCGACCGTTTGTACCTCTTACTACGAACCATTTTTGGTACTAATAACATGAGCAGCAACAGACTAGACGTAGGGACATTCAGCCCGAACCAGTATAAACCTTGTGTCATTTAGTGCACCATCCGAACCTAACGCGCAACAATTATAAATTCACTAGCCGGTGTTTATTCGAAACACCGGCAGTTGGCGCGCCAGGTAGGGGACTTTGCACGTTCCAAACTAGGCCATGAATGGCTAACCACGGCATCTGCTAGGTCCTAGGCGCACATGTGCGCTTCGGGAGCCTAGACTTCATCGTCATGGTGGGGGAGAGTTGGTCTTGGCTCACGTCACCATCCAATCTCTCCCCTCCATCGTCCTCAACCATGAGAGGCTTGGGCGCCAGCTCGGCATCTCCCTTGGACCCCAGCAGTCCAGGGAGGACCAGCATCGCCTCACCCTTTCCAATGCCTCTCTCGGGACTGCTTCATGATGGGTACCCCCGACGGGCAC